TATAAGATTTTTTGTGTCAATCAATAATTACTAATCACAATCCCCCATGTGGTTCTGTAATAGTCACCAAGAAGTTAATCATAGAGCTACACACTTATGATCATTCTGATCCAACGAAAGATTCAGAGATTTGATACATAAATGCCAGTGAACACGCTCCATGTTTACTCACATGCTCACACATTATGAGTTACCACCTACTACTATACTCACGAGATTACAACATGTGTGTTAAATCATCAACCTCATAATTATGTAAATGCGTACACTGCTTGTTATTTATTTCTGCTTATACGTGTATCATAAGTTATTAAACAAAAGTGTTTGATTAGAGCAAGAGAGTTGCTGAGACCTGAGAGTATCTTAACGTCTGAACCGATTGGTTTAATTAATAAAGCATAAGTGGCCAAAACCTCTATACTCACACAAGAATATAAAATACGTATTTGCAGAATGAATGGAGTAAATTAAATATGTAATTGTAATTCCAATTTATAAATTTCAAAGTCAACCATCTTTTTTATTCTATTGCTCGGTATTTTGAAAATTTTATAAATATTATTACCATCAATCTAAATTAATTCAAACCCTTACTATATAAGATTGTTACTACCAACGGCAACCTCGCTCATATATACATTAAATATGTCTTTGACAGATTTATTCAATGTAACTGTAGATTTTAAAACTTAAATTCAAGATCTCAAAATAAGTTAATTCAATAATTTCAACCAGTTAAATCAATCTCCCCTCCATCAACCATCTTTTCTTTAGTGGCACTTTCTTTTATAACTTAAAATATAAGGTTTATAAGGTTTTAAAAAAAATATGCAAATTAAAACATCATTTTTCATCATGTTAGTGAATATACATGCAAATTGATTTATTGTTACTTGCACCATCTTTTAAGTCATAGGAAGCCAATTTTGGTATATAAACAGGATACTTAGTGTTCAATATTTTATTAAAAATTATAATAAATACATAAAATCTTAGTCAAGTATTACTAGACAAATCATGCAAAAGATTAGAAGCAAAGCAGGTTCTATATAAATGTACGATTATGAAGAAGAATCCAAACAAATTTTGCTAAACATGGTTATGTCCCAGAATAAACCATGTTGATTGGGATGCGGAAATGCATTCAAACCAAGTCATTTAGCCTCATTTCTAATAATTAATACTCATCCAAGTGTTGGTATAATCATTTTTTAAAAAACTGGTTAGAGGTTTGGTTGATATTTCTGCCTTCAAAAAAATTAATCCAATAATTAAGAAAAGAAATCTAGTTTAATGGACTAATATATAATAATTTGTAGAACAATCAAATCAAAATTTTATCTCATAAATTAGATTTTAAATAGAAATCAATATAGTTTTCAATTCAATGAGAGCTACCCAAACAATCTAGTTTCCTTCATATCATTTTCTTGTTGGGCCACTAGGGTCAATTAGAAAAAACATTATTGAATTTGCTAGGGAAGGACAAAATGTCGAGTTAATAATAATTTAATTCATAACTAATAACGTTGTAAAATTAAATTCCATTACCAATTTAAAGATTTTATTAGTGAGTGATTTGTAAGTACTTTTTTTGCGTTTAAAGGTATATTCTGCCACTGATGAGCCCTGATATTTGATACCCAACTCATCTAAAAAATTTTTGTTATTAAAAATAGAAGAAGTAAATTTGTAATAGATTATAATTTATTGGAAAGAGAGGAGAAAAAAGAATCCACTTGAAGGGACACTCGATGGGGAGCAAATAATTGGAAACAATGAGAATATGGGTTTTATGTATGAAAAGTGAGTGTGGCACTAGAAGTCACTCATTCATTCTCAGATTTTATTAACTACATCCATGCATGTAATAAAATAATAATGATAATAATAATATGCACGCCCGGAAAACAAACAAAATAGAATTATTTATTTAGTTATGAGAATAATTAACCACCCTACCAAACACGGAAGAGATGCCTCAACTAACAATAAGAATGATTCATCCATTCATTCACATAAACAAAACAAAACAAAAGCCTCAAATCATGTTTCTTTAGTTGCCTTGCAATCATGATTCTTTACCTTTGCCCCTCAAAATTCTCAAGACACATCATCTACACCTTACCAGCTTGTTTTGCTTCACCTTGCATTCACAATTTTCTCCAAATGATTCCATGCTTGTTCTTATATAAGGTTTTAAATTCCAGTTTTGTATATAAATCAATTTGTTGTTGAGACAGTTTTACACCTATATGGTTCAACCTAATTCGATCTAGTTTTATTGGTCAAAATTAAAAAAAAAAACTAGTTAGCATATCCAAACAAATTTATAATCCTTCATCTTAATTTAAAAAATTGCAATCAATTTAATTACTTTATAATTAAAAATTTCAACTGGACACAAAATTTATAAACTAAAATTTTTAGTCTTATAAATTTTAAAAATTTACCTTTTTGTGCCTATAAATATTTTTTAATTCTAACTCTAAATCCTGGGAGTGGATTTTAAAAACTAACAAATTTTTTGTGAGCATAGGGAATATATTTTGAAACTAGTCAGCCAAGATTATCTTCCTTTTAGAGTACTGAGAATAAATGGTAAACCATTTTTAACTAAATTACTATAATTTAAGGATTGAGATTGGAATTATCGACTACTTCTTTTGTATACATTTTTTTTTTTTGAGTTGAGTTTCAAGAGTTTATCAGAACTTGAATATACATCTAAATTTAAAGAATGCTTATGATAATACTTACATATCATTCATCAATAAGATTCTCATATTAGTAACATGATTTGAATCCTTGAAATTTGTGAATTATGAGTCAAACCCTTATAAACTTGATTAACGTTTATTGCAAATTATCAGCTTCTTGTTTACACGAAAATATCTATTCATGACAAGCTAACAACTTGAATATTTGTTTTTTAACTTGGTCATGGTGAGGCTTTACAAGTGGGAAAGAGCAATCCTTATCCGGGCTGTCCCTTTCGTAGTGTTGGACGCCCTCGCGTGCTTCAGTAACCTGTTCCTTCCTGACCTCACCACCTCCCTCCTATATTCCATCCTTCTCCAAACCAATGCCTCACTCTCTCTCAGTATCTCCACTATTCCACCTTTTCATTTATTCAACAATTACTCACAACCAAATATCCAATTCTGGGATTCTCTCACCTCACTTTTGTTAAACTCATAATACCTTATAGCAGTTCATCAGCATACTATCTTGAGTCTATAATCATCATATTATCTTTTATTTCTCTCCCAACTCGATTACCATGTTAGGTGACATTGAAAGCAGAGCAATTTTTCTAGGAATTATACCTCTTTAATAATGTTATGATGAATCTAAGCAATTAAGTGCTGGTCATATTGAAATCTCGTGTTTGAGTTTGTACAAATGTTAAAGATACCTTTGAAAGAGTTATACTCATTCGAGATCAGACTACGTTCAATTCCATAGTAGTCAAGATTCAATAAGCACTTCTATAGTATATTCTTTGACATTTTATTCTACTGTTGACTCTATAACTCTTGAGAGTCTCAATTAATTATGAGCGTGACTAACATACTCGCATTGTACGTGTATATAGTACATGCATATCTCATTCAGCAGAAGAATCCTCTGTCTTTCATACTAAACACACTTGAAAAGATGAAAAAAAGGGGAACGGAGAAAGTCATATGAGTACTTGACTGTTTGGAATAAACATGCGTTTTACAGATCATTTCATGTTTAAAGAACTGAATGAGAGGGCATGATAAAAGCTGGTGGTGCTTGCTTACCCATTAATGCCCCATGAGAGTGAAGATCTAAGTGGTGATGATGCTGTATCTTCCTTTTTAATCTTTTCCCTTTTCTTTTTGGTAATATGTGACAAAAAGTTACAAATCTGAATGACTGAGAGAATGAGGTTCAAATTACTAACCCTTTATTCATAACAAAGTCATTACCATCTCAGCTAAAGGTGCTTCTTGCGTGTACTGTACATACGTTGAACACATTCTCATTCTCTTTTTATATTGCTCTGATTTGTATATGATTCTGAGTTTACACTTACTTTCCTTTATCAATCATGCAATATAAGTGCAGACACACTGTTTTTTTCTTATTTTTTATTTAACTGGGTAAGTTCAGTAGACTAGGATTTTCAAATACCTAATGACTGTTCGTTGTTATTCGGGCTGGCATGGAAGGAGGTATCAGAACTCTGGGCTGTCACATCCTGTTACACAGTACATGTTTGATTTATTGATTCTGTGAAGTAGGAAAATGACTCATCCTTTAATTTGATCGGTTTCCCTTGTTTTTTTGTGTTAATATCTGGAATATTTGTTCTCTTTTTCACTACATTCCAGAATGGTCCACACGACAGTCCACACACAAAACCTACACTCTCCCCTTTTGCTTCCTTCTCTTGCCTCATCATTACTGTTTACCAACACAATGCCCAAATCTCTCTCTCCATTTGATCAGTCAACTAATTCCCAAAGCACAATAGAGCTGTTTATGTACATTTCTCACATCCCTAAATGAATCTATAGGGGTGAATCATAACCCTCAAATCAGCATTTGGAATCTTTATTATAGAAAGCATGAGGATGAGGACCATAATGCATACTTAACATTTCACCATAGAGAATGGAAAAAAGGGAACACAGAAAGCATTTCTTTTGTTTCTTTCCTTCGTTCGGTGAAAAGGACATATGAATGCGCGGATATGAAAAAGAGCCATATGAGAAAAAGCATCTAATACCATAAAGTATTATTAAAATAAAGCCCTACCCTTTCTTTCTCCTTCCATTCTTTTTCCTTTTTTCTGCAATTTCTTCATCGATGATGAGGAGTGTAATTATTGGGATCACATGACTTCGTAAACTCTCATGAGAACCACATTAGCACAATTATGGGATCCCTCCTCTTTACAACTACAAATACCTCAACAGCTAGTAGTTTATTGGTAAAGGCATAAGAATACAATAATAATGACCAAATAAACAAAGTAAATTCAATGTATGGTGCCTTGGTCACATATTAATTTTCTAATAATTTCTCTCTTTAGTACGGAAAAAAGGGTGCTGAACAGAACCCTTAATTTCTTTCTTGACAAACACATATTTGCAAGCCTTTTTTTTTGGGGGGGCCTAAACTATTTACATTTTACAGTTAGAAGTAGTCAAAATGATGAGTAATCTGATAGGGTTGATCCCTATCTTTCTTGCTTAGTTTTGGCATCAAAACTCTGCTACTTCTAATCTTGTTCATATCAGCAGGAACCTCAGGAGGTTTAATTGATCTAATCAGAGCCCAATTCACACCTCTGAAGAACTCATGCCTTTTGATCTCAACAGAACCCATGCAGCTTCCAATTCTCTTCTTGGGATTCTTCACCAATAGTTTGCTTATCAGGTCTTGAACTCTCACCATCTCTTCATACTCCTTGCTGCTGCTAGCTGCAATTCTGGGGAAAGCCAATGACTGCTTCAGGATGTTTATGAGTGTTTTCCCATTGTTCTCACCTTTGAAGGGTGTTCTTCCATATAACATCTCATACAAGAACACTCCAAAAGTCCACCAATCCACTGCGCTCCCATGGCCTTGCCCTGAAATCACCTCTGGTGCTAGGTACTCATGAGTCCCTACAAATGACATAGACTTGGCATTGATAGGCTCTGCCACTAGCTCAGGTTCATCATCATCATTATCATCAATGTCGTCCTCGTCATCTTTTTCTTCTTGTTCTTTTTGGACTGAAACATTTTCTCTTATGATTGTTATGACTCTACTTTCTCTCTTGCTCTTGCTGCGAAATGATGCTGATGAGAAACATGATTGCATGGGGGCGGCGCAGGCAGGAGATGATGATGTTGATGAAGAGCTCCTTGGAATCGTCTTGAAACTTGATTTACTTCTCAAGAGCTTGGGAACGACGTCGCATTTGAGAGAGAGATCAAAATCTGAGAGCATAATGTGCCCATCCTCTCTCACCAGCACGTTCTCTGGCTTCAAATCTCTATACACAATGCCCATCATGTGAAGATACTCCAAAGCCAACAGTGTCTCAGCTGCATAAAACCTGTGAAATTTTTGTTGTATAAAAAGCACTTTATCAAAATTTGCATAACCTGAGAGAAACTCAGAAAAGCTTATGGCAAAAAGAATATTCACATTTTGGTCCTGAAATATCTCAGTTAGTCTCTGTATTTATCACTGGCTACATGACCAAGTTAGTTAAGATCAATTTGTATGACACCAAACTGTATATTTACTAGAACTAGAAGAGACTCACTTGGCCGATTGAATGCTGAATCGCTTCCCTGGCTCACGCTGGCGAGAAGCATACAAATCTCCACCGGGACAGAACTCCATGACCAAGCAAGAGTAATGAGACGCCTCAAACTCAGCATATAAAGTGGGCAGAAATGGATGATCAAGCATGCCCAGAATCTCCTTCTCCATCTCAGCTCTCTGCAACTTGTTTCTCACCGAAAGCGCTTCTCTGTCAACCACTTTCATGGCGTAGAGACTCTGTTTCGACCCCACAACGAGGGGGTTCCTGATCTGACAGAGGTAGACGTTGCCTATGTCGCCGCCGCCGAGGCGCCGGAGAAGGCGGAAGTGGTGGAGGCCGAGTTGGCCGTTACTGTCGCGGCGAAGGCGGGACATGGCCTCCCATGCTGCTTGGTTGGCCTTGTGAGGCTTGGCGTGGGAGCCGTGAGACAGAGAGGAGGAGGTGGTGGTATCTGTGGTGGTGGAGGAACAAACGGAGACGGAGCTGCTGCGGCGACGGCTGCTGAAGCTGAGGTTGGTCATCCAGCTCCGGCTGGATTCTGGAACGGTGGTGAGGGAGGAGCAGCTACTATCATAATCGGATTCGTCTCTGGCTATGGCCTTGGTGGTGGCCATGGGAGATTGTTGGCTTCACGACTGATGTGCGTGAAGGCTTCGTTCATATATGTGTATGTGAGCGTACATTATATACACACACACAATTTTAAGCTTTTGTGGGAGCACATGGGAGAGTTGAAGGTGATGACGTGGCAGCTGTTTTTTTTTTTTTTTGAGTGAAGTGGTGCCAGAAATTTAACAAAGGTTTCTTTTGCTTCGTTGAATGGCGGATCCCCACTCCCTTTACAAGAGGCCTAGAGGGTATTTATTTTTTTAAAAAAGAATTATTTCGATATAAATATTTATATTTGCAATGACAAGAATGTGCATCACCTAACAAGGGGGTATTTATTTTTTTTATACTTTTACCATAAAAAAATTATACATTTTATATTATATGTAGATATAAAGATATTTTGATGTTTCATAAGTCATAATTAATATTTACTTCTTGAATTAGAAATTTCATTAAGTACTTGAAGAAATGTATGATTTGTAAAATATTCAATGATTATGGGAATAGTTAACCACCAAAAAAAAAAAAAAGCAATGATGGTTGTGAATTGCAAAGAAGAAAGACTCAATATATCCTTGAAAAACCAATGAAGTCGATTCAAATTCAAATCACTGGGCCTTTAATTTTCTCACAAAATGTCAAACATAAAATCCTCTAAAAGCAACCCCTATTTAGTTGCAGATGAATGGAGGGAAAGAAAGTATGAATTTGATTTAAAAAAAAATGGGATTGTAAAATTTTAATAAGGAGAATGTGTAAATTAAAGAACAATAAAAATAAGTAAAATCTTTTAACTTCACTTTTATATTTTTTAAAAATTGAATCCATTAAAATCTCCTCTTCCCTCCTACTTAGCATACTCGAAGATGCAGTTTTTGAGGGTATAATATTTCTATATGTAAGATTATTCATAAACTTTTATGAGTAATTAGTATTTTGTTTCTAAAATATTCTTAGACTTTTAGATTCTAGTCAATGAATAGAAAGACTTTACCATCCCAAAATAAAGCTAACTATCAAAAAAAAAAATGAATGAATGACATTTTTCGCCATACTGGAAGAAGGGATTATGACCGCTTAAGTCTTAAGCATAAAATTTGAGGTTTGAGTATATGAAAATACAGAAAACACATTCAAGAGAAAATTACATCAATTAGACCTAACATTAATATTCAAATATAACCCAATCAAATAATCATAGGAAAGTAAATTCAAAAAATGATGACCTTTGATTGAGGGCATAAAAGAGAAGGTGAAATAAATTTTAAAATATAAATCAGTTAAAAAAGTTAATCAATTTTATCTCAAGAAAGGATGAAATATTGCTTTTGTAACTATAGAAAAATGTTGTGTTTCGTCAATTTGAAAAGCTGTTTCTTCTTCTTCTTAAAAAAAAAAAAAAAAAAAGAAACGCACACGCACACAACTTGAAGGCAGTATGTACTTGTACAGTTTCTCATTTATTGATACGCTATATACCATGATATTTAAAATTGCGACTTAACCGTTGAAATTTGATTAAAAAAATATACAATTTTTATCGAGTTAGAATTTTATAATAACAATAATAATAATCATAAAACTAAGTCATGTGGATATGAAAAAAAAAAATAGGTTGAAAAAAAATTACTTCCAATTCAATACAGGAAACATTGAGAGAGAACTGCCATCAATTAAATCTAATAATGCTCGAATCCAATTTATTCAGATAATTATATAACAAAATTAAGAAAATGATGGCCATTAATTGAGAGCATGTATGCGCGAAAAGATGAAAGAAATTTTAAAATATAAATTAGTTGTTTTTTTTTCATAAATTAAAATTGTTTAAGAACTTGGAGGTAGCCTGTGGTTGTACAGTTTCTCATTTATTGATGTTAGATATCATGATATTTAAAATGACTACCTAGCTGTTGAAATATGTTAAAAAATAATACAGTTTTTCTTATACAAGGTCAAGATCAGTTCGAAATTTATAATCACGTTAAAACCGAGAGTCATGTGGGCATTCAAAGAATTACTTCCAATTGAACACAATACTTAATTGATAATACCGAATATTTGGAAGTCACATAAAAGTAAATACAATCCTCATATATTATATTAACCAAGAAAATTGGAGTAGATGTGGAACTGATAAGGTTTTATATATAGCTCAAAAAAATTTTATTATTAGTAATAGCAATCGTTAGTTCATTAATTAGAAAATAAAAATCCTAAATATGTATTAAAAACATGGATGTATTTTGTTTCAGTGTGGATGAACAATTGAACGTGGGACATGGGAGAGGAGTGAAGCAGAGCCATTGATATTAAAAAAAGGGATTAAGGAATAATTAGGGAGAGGATTAAGTGGATGGAAGAGAAAAGGGATAGAAATGAATAAGAAGAGACGAAAATGGGAATGAATATATGGAGCGGTGGGGAGAGAGAATCAAGGAATACGAGGATTTGGCATGGAAGCGAAGGGACTATAATAAAATGAGACCACAAAAGTGGTTACAGTCCCACAACACTCACAAAAGCTACTTTTGTTGCTCTTGTTTTGAAGCATGCTTCCTGGCGAACCCACTATCCCTTGTTCTTCCATTTTAATCTAAACAAATCTCTCTAATATCATTTTTTATATATAATTTTATTATCCCAGCATTCTGTGAATTTGTTAAGAATAAATATCTAAAATTTTCAAAATACACGCCTTTAACTAATGGTCAGTATCATTTTACAATAGACACTAAAACGAGTCACTTAACTTTCGTTGTTTTTTTAGCGGAGTAAATTCTTCTAAATTCATTCTCAAACTTCCATATGATTGCAACTTAAAAAAAATTACTCCATCCACTAAAAAATATAAGGCATTTTTTTAAGGAATTAAATATTAAAAAAATGTAAGATATTTTTGTATTTTAAAGCATAATTAATATATTTTTTAAAAAATATTCTTAAGAGATAAATTATTTTATATTTAATTTTAAGTTAAATACCATATTAAATAAAGATAAATATAAAAAATAATTTTAGTTAAAAGACAGTTAACTAATTATTGAGAGTGATATTTCATTAGAAATGTCTTACAGTTTTTTAAGGGAAGGAGGGAGCATTTCATATAATTTTTTTAAAGGATCTTCAATTGTTATTACTTATTATATCCCTTTCTCTTACTATTTTAAAGCAAAAATACTACAATTATATGTGTGTTTAAGAAATATAGATGGTCCAAATTAGATAATTCATACACGCGCGAGTCGGTTTACAAAAACTGTACTAGGCCTTGATGAATCCAAATTAGTATGGGCTGGATCACATGGGCATCATTGAATTATAGAAATAATGCAAAATGTATATTCCATAATGTTTATAAAAATACAATTGGAGTTAAATCTAACTGGAGTAATTAGTGCTTCATGATGTGAAGAACTAAAATATAAATTTTTTTTATTAAAAGAAATGTCTATATTTAGTGTCTAACAATGACCAGATTGCATCCAATGAAAAAAAATACCCATGGATAAGAAAAAAAAATAAAAATGAAGGGGAAATGGGAAAACGTAGAGATGGTGATGTACGTATGGTGAATTTTGAAGAATTTGCAGTTAAGAATCACGAAGAACCCGTGGGCTGAATTAATTTGACCACCTCGAAATTGAAATGAACCTTTGGAGGGTCCGTGTGTACAGTAATTAATAGCACACAGTGGCAGCGTAGTCATATTTATGATATTCTCGTCATGCATGTGAACCCAATCGGAGTGGGCCGCGTACGTGGCTTGGGCCCTACTCAACCCCACCTCTCTCCCACCCTTAGCTAGTAATTCAGATAGGATCAGACGAATTAGTTCGAATCCACCTGAAAAAGTTTAAGAATGTACTTATAAAAAAAATTAATTTTTTTTATATTCAGACCTATTCAAATTAACCTAAAAAATTTCAAACTATGCTTGATCGGGTTCAAGTTTGGCTGAATACGCAAATAAAAATATTTTATTTCTACAAAATATAATAAATATTAATTAATTCTTTAAGTTTTATGTTATTTTAAATCCAAACATTATATATATTTGAATCCTATACATCATTTAAGTATTTTAGTCACCTGAAGCGTGAAGGAATTCAAGTCGGGTTTAATTATTTAAACTTTTTATAAAATCGAATCTATTCAAATCAAGTCTAAATAAGTCCAACCCACTTGAATTTTTTTAGCTCTAGTCCCACCTTACCTTATCCCACCTCACTTTTCTTGGTAGTGATTTACACCTTATACTTTGAGTCTCTTCAAATTCAATTGATTTATCTTTTCATTATTATAACTTTTTTACAAAAACATTGAAATGTTTTTTAAGAGTAATTATTTAACTTAAAATTATATATTAAAAATTTAAGGATATTTTTTTATTATATTACACTCTAATTTTTAAAATTTAACTCAATACAACTCAATTCGTTGAATTTATCCATTTTAGTTATTAATTCCTACAATTTATGATTGGATTATGACACAACTATTGACGGACTGGATATTTTTTTAAAATGCAGGGATCAATCTGTTAACTGACTAAAATTGAGTGACTGAGTTGGATGAGTTAAATTTTAAGGATTAGGTTTTTCATTAAGTTATTAAAATTATACTCCCTGAATTAAAATAAAAATACCTTTTACAGTTTCGATTAAATATATATTATTTGAAAAGGTAAAAAAATTAAATGAAGAACATTTTGATTAAAGTAATTAAAATGAGTATATAAAAATCGAATAAAAGTAACATAATCTTTTTATATGGTTTATTGAAAAAAAAAAAACCTTATATGCCAATTCAATATTTCAATTGCAACTAATTCAACCAAGAATTCAAGAGTATGGGTCGGTTTAATTTGAAGTTTGAAGTGGAAATATTATCAATGCAGATCTTGTTTCCTATCAACCAAGTTCAATCATTCACAGATGAATTATATTAAAATGCATTTCTTGGCATCTATGATCCATCAATAATCAACCAACATTTGCCATGTTCTTGTGTTTCGATAGAAAAAGAACCCCATTTTA